TTCACACCTCAACCTGAAGTGTGTTTGTTCATTAATAGCTCATCAGCAAACTTTCATTTCATAGGCTGGTTTCCCCAAAATGAAAACCTGTCTTCTGAGACGCTTTTTTAGAGAAGCTTAAGTGTGGAGGAAATTGTTTTTTATGTCTTTGGGTTTTGGTTTTTTGGTTTGTTGTTTTTTTTTGAGAATGACAGTTGCAGGTTTTCAGTGATTTGCAATGTACATTTTGTACTTCAGTATTACATGAAAACACTCAGGACTAGAGGAGCTGTGGGGTCAGGACACAGCCACCCTTCCCACCTCACACTGACCTACCCTTCTTGATATATCTGATTTTGTCACTTAAAACTTGTGCCAGATTGGTTTGTTGGCATCTGCTGTGTACTGCTATGGTGGGATGAGCAGTGAGTTGTCAGGTTTCCCAAAGACAAGATTTTTTTTTATTTTTTTTACCATGAGAAACTGGGTACTTTGCAGAAAGAAAGTTAATCTTGGAAAAATGAGGGAAATAAAAGGTCAAAGATTGTCCTGGCCCCATGTCTTTATTTCCCTAGCCACTGAGYGGTGATTTTTAAACAGATTTCCATGCAGTGACCTTGGCATCAATGTCCTGCCATGGTTTCACTGAATTGTCATCATGCCATGGTCTCAAAATATAAAATAWCCTACTACAGGAAATCTGATGCTACCAATGTTACAACAACTGCACTAAACTGCAGAAAAAATATGTTTCATGACAGTGGAAGCAGAAAAGCTGGTAGATGAATTGGATTCCTTTTTAGATGAATCTTCTATGGATCAGTAGGTTTATTCAGAGTTACTTAAAAAGCAGTTAACATTCCATTAGCAACAAACTGTGATCTGTGTCAGCAGTAAAGCACTGTTCAGTCATTTATTTTAGAATGAGCAGTCACTGCAGGGAAAAATAAAATTATGAAACGCCTTACGAGCAAATAAATAGTAAGGCAAAGCCAGGGATTTTCTCTCTTATTCTAAATATTAAGCCTTTCTCCTAGGAATATCTATTAATATAACAGCAATTTTTTTCTCTGATGTTTGCTGTGTGCAAAGTAAGTCTGAATTTTCTATTTTTTTTTTTTTTTTTGTAGTTTGGGTGATCAAAGAGGAAAGAAGTGCATGCTCAGATTTGGCTGCTGCCAGGGTATTTCACGAGAGTAAGAGCATTGCTGGTTCAGCATTCTGTCCTCTGCTGACCTGGCTTCARTCCCAAAGAGCTGCATTGAAAGGATCCCTTTCCTTGGAGCAGGAATGGCACCATGCCCCAGGGAGCTCCTCACCTGGTCATGATGACCTCCTGTGCTCAAAGCTGTCTTTATCTCCCCGTTCTCCTGGCTCACACAAAACCTGCCTGGCACAAGAGTTCTTGTTAGGCTCCTATTGTTTTTGATGGGCAGGTTTTTTTGATAGTTGAAAACCTTTCTGTATCTCATGAGAGAGATGAGGTATAAAACAGACTTCAGTGTCATTGATACCATGGTGAGCCAGACAGGAGCAGAGCAAAGCAATCTTGAAATCTGCACAAAACCCTCTCCAAGCTGAGCTGCTAATGGCAGCATCCTGATGGCATCTCCACATCACCCTGGTGTCCTTCTCCTACCTGCACTGTGCCAGAGAAAGCTCAGCCAAACATGGAACAATCAGAAGGTTGATTGCTTTGAAGGCAGTGCTCTGACTGTACAATCCTGCAGCTCCCCAGGGCAGACTGTCCTCACTGCTGGACAATCACACAAAACCAGGAGCTCCACAAAAGCTGCACAGTGTTTTAACAATAAAGTTAAATGTAGACCTCATCCCCAAAGTAACAAGCTCTGTGTTACACAATAATGTTGCTTTGTAAGGTTTTAATCCTTGTTTTAATTACTCTGATAGATGAATCATTATAGGGAGGCACAGAGAGAGAAGRGAGGCAGAAATATAAATAAGCACATGGTGACAACACTGGTTAGAAATCAGTATTTCTGCTGAGCCACTACCAAGCAATGCACAGCTGACTCACGTGTGGCATGCAAGACTAGGATTGAAACATTGGCCTTAAGTGCCATATTGACTTTGAAAAACGTCTTGTATTTCATGAATTAGATATTTCCATAAATCAAAATATATAAGTGAGGTCAGTGGAAGTAATTTTAGATCACTAACTGATATTAGCATTGAGAAATTAGGAGCCATTATTTACACGAATAACAAATACCTCCCCATTTCCCTGAGATTCTGCTGTGCCTACACAGATTAATGTGAAGGGGAAAACTCCTTTYCTCATCTTTTTTGGATGACATCCAGGATCCTGTGAAGAATCAAAATTTTGGGTTTTTTTCTACCAGTTTCTGACAGTGGCTATTCTRATGCTATGTGAGGGCATCTTCAAAAGCAGTAACTCGAGGCTGTGTTCATTCTCTCCCATTGCCTTGTAAGAAGATTATGATAATGAATAGTAATTTAGAATTAATTCAAAGCTAAATCATTTGGGCTGCTTTTTTCCAGACCTGAGCCCTGACTSCAACAATTGTGTTTAGCTCTATCTCTAGGAGCTAAATTCCTCTGCAGACCACATTTTTAGGGTGCAGGGTGATGGTGAGCAGCTTGCCCAGCTGTTCTGAAGCTCAGATTTAATGGTGGATCCAAAAGCCTTGAAGTGAAATCTCTTATTTTTTTTAAAAGCATTTTGTAATTTTTTCCCATGTCAGACCTTTCCTTCAAGAAGCTGAAACCAATATTTTCAAAATGGCTCAGTAATTCTAGTCAAAATGAAGCAGCAAGAAATGAATAAAAGTTACCTTTCTGGAAATTTTCCAGTGCTGCTGCTTAGAAACTGTTTTTTAAAAGATATACTTGGAATTAGCCATTGCCTTACAAAGAATACAGTCACCTCAGTGATGGAAGTGCAAAGTATCAAGCTAGGAAGTAAAAATAATGTAATCCATAAATGCATGCAGACAGTATGTATAACACTGTGGATGTTACAACCACACAGTTACAATGGTCTTTCTTTAAATCACCTTTGCAAGTGTATTCTTAATCTCAGAAGGAGTATGCTTAGTTCTGTTTAAAATGTAAGAAATTAGAAAAATGCATTTTTAATATAAGGTCCAAATTCAGCTGAAAATAGTACATCTTGCATAGCTCAGTAGACCTTTTACACATTGGAAAAAACCCACATAATTTTGTCTAGAAAGCATGGATTATGCATTCATCCCTTTTAAAASGGATGATAAAATCAAATTGTTCCTTGGCAAACACCCCTTTGGCGTTCATTGCAAGTTTTCCTATCGATTTTTACAGGTTTAGATATATGACAGAATTTGAAAATCTACTGTATGTAACTGCAAGAGCAGGCAAATAATTTGGCATAAAATTTCTGGAGTGAGCACCGTGTAATTTTTAAGTGATTCACCTCTACATGACTTGCTAATCCATTTCTGGGAGAATTACAAAATTTTGTGCCTCTTGCAAAAAAACACCATTTTAAACAGGAAAGCATCACTTTAAAAGAGACAAACATGGATTACAAAGCTTTTACAGAAAAATGTTGTCACTGGAATATTTCCTGAACACTGATCATTAGTTGTGAAACCATTGCTGGTCCATAAATTCTGATTTCTTACAGTCAGAGACACGCTTGCTTTATTTATATATACAGATAGAGCCTTGCCATGAAAAGGAAGTATTTGTGGTCTCAGCAGCGTTTAAGATAAATATTTCAACAGCTTCTTTCTTAATGTCTTYTGGAGATATCAGCATGGACAGTATSWTTCCAGYGCTGTGCACTGAATTTATAAGGCTGATTTTATTCTCATTTCAGATTACCTGGTTTCTGACCAAAGTGGGGCACCCTGCATTTAGAAGGAGATATTAAACAGCACCATTGCTGTTTTATGGGTTCCAAACATTTTCTGTAATAGCTTCTCTAAAAATGTGTGGCATAAACAAAATCCTCAAGCACATTGTGGTAAAAGGGTTTTATTGGTGCTCATTTGCACTGACCTACATAGGTTGTTCTCAGGCTCCCCATTCCTGAGCAGTGATGCTTATTCTGTATTGGAGCCAAGGARGCACTTAATCTGTGCCAAGCAATTTTTTTTGTCAAAGTACATTTTGCCATCAAAATAAAGGCACAAATACAATTTATGTTCTGTTAGTAAAATCAGGAAAAACAATCTCAATGAAGAAAGGAGGCAGGAGTTACCCATCCAATTGTCTGCATRGATCTAATTTTCCACATTATATAAAGAGCAGAGAAAGCCTGAATTCCCATCTAAAGAATGGAAATAGAAACACATTAAGAAAAGCACCTCTGATTTGTTTATTCTAGGGAAAAAAAGGAAAATCTGTCTCCATTCCTCAATGACTTCTCACAGCCTTCKATATTTCACTGTTCTAAACCACTTTCTAAAATAAACCTGACACAAAATTACTGCAGCAGGGCATTTTTATATCACTTCTATGCTAAGTATAATTATCCAAGATTTGAAGTGTTATGGGATGAATAAAATAGGATTGTTATTTTATACTTAGCAAAGACGTCCGAATTAATGAAATTTGCCAAAGCAAGAGAATATGAAAGGCATTCAAGCTCCGGACATACAACACACAACCATGTTTCACCTTAGCAAAATAGTCCAATCTTTGGGTAAGGAATTTCTTGTGGAAGAGATCAGGGATTGTTCTTCTTGCTTGGTTTGCATGGGTGTAATGTGCTGAATGTTCACTGAAACTTCCTATTACAGTCTTATTAAAACCAATATCCCTTAGAAAGCAAACCATTAGTCTGAATTACCCAGTCTTCAGATTTATTTTTTTTAACTCAAAGTTTTTTCTCTGAACTTCCTGACATCTGTATGACATAAATAAATTGATATGCATCCAAAATCCCTGGAATTATTACTAGGGCTCAGGTGCTCTCTGTCTTCTATATAAAATGTACAATCCATACACACCATATTGGCTTACAAAATTTTTTTTAAATAGCATATTTTCTTTTTATCTGCAGAATTTATTTGTTCTTTGACAAAAAAAAAATTAACAGATCATAACTTTTTCTGTTTTTGCCTAACAACCAAAGGTGCCCCCTTGATTGGTGAGGATGGTCCAGTGGTTATAAGTTTCAGATTTTCATGTAGAAAATTGCGCTGTCGGACCGTGGATGATCCTGTGTAGCTGCTGGTACAATCTACTTTTGCAGCCATTGTCAGTGGCACAGAAGGTGGAAGAACTCCATTGATWTCATATGTCCACTTCATTGATTGTGTCTGAAAATAATGAACAGAGGAAAGGGAAAAAAAAATCAAATATCTTGAAAATTTGTGATTTAAGATGCAACAYTGATTTCAAAACATATTTATCCTTTTCCATGAAATGCATAGGAATAACACAGAATGAGAATTGCACTCCTGGATCAGAGAACTGAAATTCTATTTATCTTTATTCAGGGCCAGGCATAACAAAGATGAGAAATTTACCCTTCCTGGCTGATCTAAAATTCCTTTTTTATTTAGTAAATCCCAGAGGTCTGTATATTTTTTCAAAGAGCTCTGTATGTTTTTCAAAGGTGACTATTTCAAATTACAACATAAATGCCTCAGGTTTATACTGTAGGATTCACTTGCAGCTCTGCTATCTGTAATAATGGCATTATCAAATGGTGGAATTTTCAGATTAAAACAATGAACAAAATTAAGAGAAAAGGATTCAGAGTATGCACAGGAGAATTGAAGCTTCATGTTGGAATCTCCAGTTTGAGGCACATTTATGTGGATTGAAAATGACATTCTTCATTTGCTCTCTGTTTATAACTGCTCTCCAGGAATGGAACATATGTTTCCATGTCATGTCTTGTAATGCTTGAATACTTGATTMTTYCYGAATATATGCTTCTCATTCTTACTACACATCCCATTTACCCAATACTTAAGGACTTTTATTTCTATTAATATTAAGGATGTACTGCTGCCTATCTCTTGTGCCTCATTTGTATCCTGAAACAGAATTTTGGTTGTTTAAAACTCATGTGTAACTTTTGCAGATCTCTAAATCATTTCCCTTTCAAAGTGTATCACTTTAATTTTTGAAAGAAGGTCTTTATTTTGAGTCTCTAGCACTTTCCTGTCATTTTATTTAGAAAAGGGTATATTCCCAGGTTTTAGTTTTCTATTCTCCTTTTCTTTAAAAAAAAACCCATAAAACTACAAGCTAACAACAGAAATGTTACAAACCCAAAAGATAATACAAACTTTCAAATGATGTTCATCATGTTCAGCTTTGTACTATTCAAAAAGACAGAGCATTGCATGCCCAGATTAGGTCTGCACTGTCATCAATTCCCTTACACTTGTGCCCAGAAATTCCAGGTTTTATGTTTGGGGCTTTTTTTCTGCTTCTGAGATAAAACTAGCAGGGGAAGATGAGTAAAAAATATCACATGTATTGGCCTATTAAAATATATTCATACAAGTGAAATTTGGCTTACATACAGAAGACAACACGGTGCAGGACCATGATGCACAGAACATATGAGACTCTGAGTTTGCAGCCTCAGAGCAGGGGAGTCACAGGAAATGAGAGTTATTTCCACATTCCCAAGGTCTGTCCTTCCCCAGAACCCAGCACTGCAGTCACTCAGCTGTGCTGGTTGTGGTTCCAGAGCAGGTTTTTGGTGTTCTCCTGCTGTGTTGAACTGCAGGACACAGCTCACAGGGTCACCCTTCTCTCCTGCTTCCAGTCACAGAGCTTTATCATTACAGCAGGACTTGTACTCTATGTAATTCATCTCCCATTTAAAACCAACTTAAACCTTAGAACAATCAGCTGCAGGTAGAAGCATTACACCATAACTTTTTATCTGAGGAAACAAAAGGCCAGAAAGGCTGATACGCTCTCAAATCGATCTGGATAATAGTGCAACAGTCAACCCTCAGAGCTCATGAGTTTTTCCCTCAGATGAGAGTCAGCTTCTGACCTGGCTGGATTTGTGGAACATTTGCTCATTCCAGTGTGAGCCCTCTGCTCCTGCTCTGCTGCTGGGCACATCAGCACCACGATCAGWTTTGGCCAAAAGAAAGGTGCCACAATAGGAACACAAATTGTGACAGATTTGCACACAGCATAAATGGTATCAACCATCTCCAAAGCATAGTGTTTATATTTGTCTTGTTATTTGTTGCATTCTGTCATTTAATTATGGTCTAGGTAAAGCATTACAAAAGCAGTCAACCTTCTCCASCTCCAGCTTTCTGTAAAGTCACCCTATATTTACAGCAACATAAAGAAGAGGGGRAAAAAGCATAGTAAAATATTTCTTTGACTTTATTAAAGTTTTGTTACATCAGTTTTATACTTGCCACTGAAAATGTTTGAATCTATTATGTTTATCTTCTTTACCTTTCATCTGCTTCTCTGYACCATTCTAATTGTTACCCAGTTCAATGCTAAAGTATACTTWAGGAGTATCATTGCAAGCAGTTTTGAATTTATATTGCAGACATTCAACAAAAAGAAGTTTCAGAACATTAAACCACAAACTCTTTGGCTCAGGCTTTGTTCTCTGCTGTGCACTTATAGAGCATTTACATTATTTCACAGATATACACATTTACAGCTCCTAAATACCATCATCATATGGATCTCTAATAGTAGTTTGAACTAGCATTTTGGCAACTGAATTATACTTTCCTGCACCAATGTTGAAGAAGAGATGAGGGGGTTTTTGCTGTGTATTTTTAAAGAAACCTTTACTTGAAAATTGGCAGTACTGATTTGACATTGTGTCTGCTGAATGACTCCCCTTATTCCAATAAAATTAGTAAATGAGAACTCAGGAGATATTTCACCATGTGTGCATAGTTTTTCAAAAWTTTTATTACTATCCTACTAAAATCAAAATCTAATTTAGATTGAATATTATTCAGTGTAAAACAGGCAGATCAACTCATCTTTATTCTCAACCTTATTTAATACTGTGGAATGAACCAGTAACTACTGTCTGTAAAGGTAAAATCCAACAAAAGCAGGTGTGACATGAACCAACATCAGAAGCTTATGCTCAAAGATAAAGCTGTCATTTAAGAAAAGTAAGTGGCTCTCCAAAGTTAGCTAATTATTTTATTAACTTCAGTACAAAAATTAAATGGTTTATCTTCCTTTAGTAGAGCAGAGGAACAATTTAGTTTAAAGAAAATTCAACCTCAGGGTCATATTCRCTGTGTGAAAGTCTCATGGATTATTTCAAGGTCAGAGAAAAGATCTGATAAATGTTTCAGCCAGTGATTTAARCTGAGTATCAAGTTACTTACAAAAATAATTTCTTTTCATGAAATCCACACAGACTGTGACTGGACTGCCTGTAGTACTAGTAATAGTGGGATTCAAACAAAAATGGTGGGCTATGCCATCTCTCAACTTCCTTTATCATCAGCATCAAACAATTGATGCAGACTTYTGGGTAGTAATAATCTTCTGTTGATTTCCTGTTTGCTATAGAAATACCCTAGTTTGTATGTTTGGTGGAAAAACCTGTCTATTTTGCTGCTGTATCAGATGTTCTGTAATAGGAGACACTGATATTTCCCTGATGGAAACTCATTGGCTTCAACRGGGAAAATATGGGTGTTATGACATGAACCCTTTAGATAGAAATCATCCTGTTAAAAGGAAAAAGAAAAAGGCAATAAAYCAAAAAACTCCACCCTAATATCTCATCTTGAACTATGGTAGTTCATCTGTTGTAAATMATGTGTCATCATCCAAGACAACTGGATACATTGTGAAAAAGATGTGCATTTATGTACTAATTAAGTGGAAAAAAAATACTGTTATTTCAGCTCAGCATTTTCTGCTAAAGGAGAAATGAGTGTCGCACACATGGAAAAGAGTTACTCTAATTTTCAATATAACTTGGGGTCCTTTGTACAGCATTAGAACCATCCAGAAATCAGTAGTTTGCAAGGCAACCTAGATTTAAGTAATTTTCAGTAAACCTCAGACACCCACAAATGTCCATTTTTTACTAGAAAACTTAATTTCCAAGGTCACATTGAGGTATTTAAGCGCTGCTGGAGCCATAAGTATTTTTCTGTGTATTTTTAAGTCTGTTGATCTTAACTTCAATAACTACTCTAACCAAYAGGAAAATTGCAGCAAGAGCAAGTCCGTCAACTTCAAAACCCGTGCAAKTGCCTCAAAGCTGCTGCTTTGGGTTACCAGGGCAGACACATCACAGCAAAGGAAAACACAGATCATCAGAGTTTYAGACTTTTCTGCAATGGTGGAGAGAAGGAAGAGAGACTTTCACAGGTCATCCACACATGACCATATAATTGTGACAGAATATGACTTACAAGCTGTATTTACTTGTCTCTAAAGTGGGCMAAAATTTACCAAATCAGAGGAACTCTTCTTCCTATTTTAAAGACAGTGCAGTTTATTGTATCAAATTTGGAGTAATTCCAATACTAGCTCAGGTATTGAATCTGCAGCAATCTGTACTATGACTAGAAGAGAATTGTAAAAGAGAATCTCTGTTAAGATATATCTGATATAAACACAGGCAGTTAAGAATCCAGGCTCCCTGTGATGCATATCTAGRCCTATTTCACACACAATTTAAGAAGAAAGACTAGATTATGTTCTGGATGTCCTTGACAATCTGAGGGATGATTTCTTGTTGAAATGAATTGCTTTCCTTTTACAAAACCCCAACATGCCTGAATCAAAATGTGAAGAGAAAAATAATTTGGCTCACCTGACTGGAGTAATGGCCATCTACTGAGCTAAATCTCTCTGAAAAATGTTTTTAACAATTAAAAAATGAGACACACACTGTTACTTCTTACCAAATAACATAAGTTATTCAAGCAAGACATTTAATCATCTTGATGGCTGACTGAGTAATGTTCATGAAGYAATTTGTTCAGCCAATGCTGGTAAAAGTCATCTAATAATTTATATAAAAGTCTATTTGTTTGGTATCCAACCCATTTTTACTGATGCTTCATGATTCACAGGATTAATCTGCAAAACACAGATTATCCATGGGTGTTCGCTGTAGGCTGGAAGTGTTKCTGAAATACATGATAAATAACTGCCAAAGAAATCTGTGGTAGAAGAGTGGATTGGGAGCARGGATCAGGAATTTCAAGGMATATTGTATTCCAGTTAGCTTCCAMATAGCATTAAATCAGRAAAAYCAAAATAAAATTTGCAAGACTTCYTAAAAAGTTAAAACACAGGAAACTACAGGTAGTGCATCAAATATTTCCTGGCCCTTAATTTATACTGCAGTAATGACAAACAAAAAAATGAGCAATTATGATTGGTGTATGCAGAATGAAATTAAAGCAAACCTTYATGGGAACTGTGTAAGGGAAGAGTAAAAGCAAGAAAACACATGGATCAAGACAATGGTAGTTTAATAAGTGAAGGAAATGGGAAAAAAACCCAAAGCAATTAAAAAACACCTCTCACAAGCAGACAAATGCTCACACAGGCTCTGACCAACTTCTAATTAAGAAAATGGATGAGTAATTTTCTTAACTTACAAAACATGTCCACATATAATTAAAATTTACTTAATCGACTCCTGCWGTTCAAATATTAGGTGTTTCACAACATTGCTTAGACATTATACAGTCAAAATCCTCCAGGACTGGCAGGGTCTGAATACCCTCATACAGCCATGTTTTCTATGTTATTATCACCTTTTGCCATTATCAGAACTATGAGGCTCAATAAGCAAAGTATCCTTTCCTCGTGCTTGTGAACCAAAAATGTTGAGTACTGATTCTGCATTTTGCTTCTAATCATAAAACTCAAGCCAACATCAACACATATCCTATTTAATGGRAAAATATTTCAATTATTCTAGTCAGTCAGTTACATTTTTCCTCGCTCATTCTTGTCAAGAGATACAATTTAAAATAACATTAAACTCTGATAATTAAGAAATCCACCAGGAACAAGGCAGRACGTATTTCCAGCAAGCTGCTGAATATGTAACAGAACTGTTTGCTGTTAAGATATGCAAGTTTGTACAGACAAGTTTAGAGAAGCCACACCTGGGTACTGTGGCTGGCACACTGCATCATTTATTTGCAGAAYAGCATGACAAATGGTTTTGATATGCTATCTTCCATAGGCTAAGTCAGTGATTATTCAGTAATAAAGGTGCACAAGCCTGACTTCTGGAGGGCTTGATAATGTTACCTGCAATCTGGTTCACCCTGACACCTATTTTATCATTTAAGACTTATTGTGKGTGCCTTCTGCTTTAGAATATCTCAGAAGTCTCACACATGAATTACAAAGCGATTGCTCTGGTCTCCAGCTGAATTCAGCACAGTGAAAGGAAATTAACTGCAAGCCAACAGGAATACTCCCTTTTCCAAGGATTCCCAGMCTCCTGGCTGTGCCTGGTTTAATTCCTGCTGCACCTCACCATCCCTCAGCTCTGCTGGTTTTCTGTTCAGCCTGACCAGCACATCACAGCATCTTTTCTGGCAGCTCTTTAAAGCTTTTTTAAGAAGGTTGCTCTCTTCACTTATTTATCCTTAG